TGAACAAAATCTACTTTAATACATCATCATGTACAGTAGAAGAAATTTAAGGGTGACCCCATGAAAAGGAGTCTTACAGTCACGTAGCTTTAAAGCAGCATATCATATCGGTTACTTTAATGACCATCCTTCTATTTCCAACAATGTATTATGTTGCAGTGTTTTTCTGGGGTAAGGTAAGAAATGGAAGGAAAATATATTGCTACACTGCACCATATGGGTTAAAATATAGGCGTGTGTTCATCAAAATTGGTACCAAGAATTATGCAATTTCATTAGTACTGCTATCGACTACTGACTACCTAACATAGTCCAGTCCCACCATAACACTCGCGCTGACATAAGAAACCCCAAATACACGCTCACACGCATGCATGTCCACTGACATACAGTTAACAGGGGAAAAGGCAGGAAGTCTCTGCTGAGATCCATCAGGAGGCTGAGAATTATGATAGAGGAGGGGTTGGATTCGGAGGCGGTGACCACACTAACCATTCTACACCTTTCCACAGCACACAGAGAGCTTACTGTGCATGAGGAGAGCCTCTCACAGCCGCTGAGGTGTCGCAAAGATTTCACATTTGAGCAGCGAGATGATTAATGGTCTGAATCATGCTCCACGATAATGGCGTGGATTAATGCAGCCTCTTCAGACAGTGCGGAGGCAAGGATGATAAATTTGATGACTTATCAAATATTTTTTGGACGCCTCGTTCAGGTGGGAGTGTTTTCTGCGGGGTCGGAGCCAGGACTGCTTTTAGAAAGGCGAGGCTGGGTGTGGGGAGCTCAGATGGTCTGCGGTGGAGGTTTTGGTCGCGCTCCCACACCGGCTGCTGTTCTTGTGCTAATAACATGCAATATTTCAGCACTAGGTATACTGCGCACAGTATGCAAATATCCTGTATGAACGGCAAAATGTACAGTATACAACACTGTGCATGACCTTATATGATATTCCTAATTTGATGAATGAATCAGAAGTAATATCAGCCATAACTTTTAACATCTCATATTTAACTAGTTATTTGATTGGACTGTGAAGACACAAAATTGAATTAGACATGAAAAATTACTTTTTATCTCCAATATGATAACTGGATGCAACATGCTATATTTAGGCAATGTTATGACGTCATGTGACAATGTTTATATCTCTATCACACACACACACACACACACACACACACAAAATATAAAACTTACATAAAAATATTTGTTAAATACTAAAAATTATTTTTTAGGTATTAAATGCTTAAAACATATAAAACTTATTCTAAAAATTGGTTATATGATTAAAAGTGGGAGAAAACAAAAAAGTAAATGAAAAATAGATAAATAGATAAAAAATAAATAAATAAATAAATTATACAAACAAAATTAAATGAAATCAAATGGAACAATTTTCCTCATCCCTAACCTTTGAACATACATTATCAGCCAAAACTTCAGCAACACTTGACTAAATTTAGATTTTCATGATCATAAAAATCCAAAAATCAGCTTGATTTGATTGGACAAAATTCAGCATAGTGCAGGGTAAGCTATTAATATTCCTGGTCTGTTTTTCCAGAAGAGCGAGTTTGTGTACATGTGCATATAGTGAAGAACGACCTTTTGACTGCAGTATATAAGTTCAGATCTCTCCTTATCCAGCTCACTTGAAGAAGCAGCGGTAGAAACCACCCTCCCTCCACAGCTAATTGTGACATCAATGAACCATGTGATGGCAGCGCGGAGCAGTTCTCACTCTGCCATTTAATCTGTGGGCTACAAATTTGCACAGGACAACTCTTAAAAACCCACTTCTGTGCTCCACAGTGACACGCTGTTCCACTCTCTCAAGTCTGCTAGTAAAACTTGGACAGCACATCAGAGCTGGGTGAGATGTCACGGCGCGCAGTAGAGATTAATGGAAGGGGAAGAGATGTGATGGAGAGAACATTTCACTACACCGCCGCTTCAAAAGACGCTCACCAGGCGTTGGTCCTATTTTTACACTGTCATCATCACAGAGGCTGACAGACACACAGACAGAGACCAGAGAAGAAAAAAAACAAAACGGAGGAAGAAAAGAACAAATCCCTAAAATACATCAGAAATATCTTGAAGAGTGATGCATCCCAAAACAAAAACAGATACGGGATGTCTTCTCTCGCCTCTCTCTTTGTTATTAAAAACTTCCTTGCTCATTTTCTCTCATCTATCCTTTTTTTGCGGTTTCATTCTAGTTAATTTCAAATCTCTGGATCACAGGAACGGGTGTTGATTATGCAGCATTTTGTTAGACATCAAATAGTCCCATCTGCTCGTCTAGAAAAATATAATTTAAACATGATGACGGGCTCCATTTATCACACACTGAGTACATCCAAACCTGCTGTAGTGGAATAAAACAAGTGAGAAGTCATGTGATTGGCTGCTGTTTCTTAGGATAAAATGCACACAAATTTTCACTTTCAGTACTATATTATACTTCATCCTAACCAGCATGACATGATGATTTTCAAAGGTCATTTTCGAAGTCAGTCTGTCCTACTGCAAAATGCTAGATGAAGTGACAAAACACAGACAAACAGATAACTGACATTTACTAATATGAAAAATATTTGAGATTTATTATAAAGAGAGAGACTACAAAATGACCAATACCAACTTTTTTTATTCTGAACTGTACGATACATGCCTACATGCAGAATTATTTTGAAATCCTTTTACTTTTTCAGTATAAATATATATATATATTTACTATAAATTTATTATAAATTCTACAAAAATTCCTTGGCATTATAGAATTTTTACTAAATCTAGTCTTTAGAGACCACCAAAATGCATTTTTTGGGAAACCCTATATTAAAAAATTATTAGAAAAATTTGTTCAAACCTCTAATCAAAGCTGGTTAGGACAAAAAGTATCATGGAAGCAATATATTTTGTTTCGCCACATCACTTGACACTATCACACTGCAGTTGGTTATGACATGGTGTAAGGCCACACTTTTGACACCATTCCTTTTTTTTTTTTGACAAGACTGGACAAGTATGACCAGGAATTTTCCCTCCTCCGAGCCATTATCAGCCCTGCATCTTTATGCACATCTGTCTCTTCAAAAACCGAAAGAAAAATACTCCATTTATGTACCACTATGTCACACTCATCCCCTGTCACTCAAACCCTACGACCCTGATCACCGACCCTAATCCAGAGGCCGCAACAGTAGACAGCACTCGCCCTTCCCCTGGGCCATGTCAAACACCTTCGGGCGGCTTGTTATGGCCATCCATTTTCCACAGAACAGAAGTTGCAATCTTAATGATTATAAATGACAAATAATAAAGCCAAAAGACTGCTTGTAATGCTATGAATTAAAAGCGGAAAAACGTGTCCACGAGGGACAGGCAAACTGAGGGTCCTTAACCTTTCCAATGTTGGCTCCTAACTTTGACCCTCAAGTAAAGCTACCCAAAAAGACCTGATTTAGGACCACCGCGTGCAACCTTTATCGCTGACCTCAACCATTAGTATATGTCAGGAGAGCAACCGGCCTCTGATCGACTCTTAACCAAATCCCCCCCGCTGTGATTGACAGTGAGCAGGAGGGGGACGCAGGCTGCCCTCCTGATCTCAGGGCTGCAGGTGAGAGCCGAGCCCCACAGCTATCTGCACTACTGACACCCATTTCCTGTGGAATGCTGCAGCTATGCAATGCGCTGATAGCCTGTCATTCAGAGAAACAGCCAGGGAGGGGTGCTTTCCAGCGGCGCGAGCATGTGCCCGTGAGCATGAATGGAGCTAAAGTGAGTATGTGCGTGTTGGTCCTCCTGCTATTTTTGTTTTTCTGTGGCCGCTGGGTTTTGTATATATGCATGTGGCTGGTTTGTGTTGGAAACGAGGACGCAAAATGCATGTGCAGGTTATGAGACTAATCTGGATTAATGGTAGCTACACCGCATTAAACAAAGATTAGAAAATTCAATGTCGCTTCTTTGTACATTGAAAAAAATTGGCATAAAAATAACGTTCACTCATAGATTGCAAGTAAATTTCACAGATAATTACAAAGAAATGACAAACTGAGTGGAGTAGAATGACTGAAATATTTTTTTCTTGCAAAACGTACTCCAATAATCTTTGTTTTATTTACAACTACGCAAAACCTTTTAACAGTGTAATTATTTGTGAAATTTGCTAGCAATTTCTGAGTGAAAACAGTATCTACACCATTTTTTTTTTCAGTGTAGTCTGTGTGTGTTTAAACTAGTGTGCATGTATTTGCAGGTGGTTTGTGGGAACCTGGAGGAGGAGTCAAATAATCCTAAAATTGCCCTTCTTGGCGGGTCTGCGGCCAGACATCTGTAGCCTGTTTGCATGGCCAAACTTTGGGATGTCGTTCCCAACATGTCTCCTTCAGATCTTGTTCTTAAGCCCTTTCCTTGAACAGCTAAACAGAACCATGACAGCAAGGTCAGCTGGTTACGGATACTATGAACACACCATCAGGATATCCTGTATGATCTTATATATCTGAGCAATCACGCCCCTCTTAAGAGAATATTCCAGGTTATTGTCAACTTAACATCTGTGGGCAGCATCTGTGGCATGCTTTCAATTATGACACACAATAATTTTGACTCATCTCTTAAGTCTGTAAAAACACAAATTGTTTTTACAGTAAAACACAATGAGAGCCTGGAGGGAAAGAGAGTCAGGGAGTTAAAAAGCAAAAAAGCGAGGCTCCTATTCGGGTTAAAACACAATTCGTCAGTGAAACAAAAATGTTTGTTACTTGAGCTGTAAAGTCTAAATTGTTCCTTTGAGGTGGGACTATTTTTTTTATGCTGACGAATGTCTGGTTAAGCTTCACCAATGTAATTCCTGTGGGCGAGGTTGCAAAGCTCCACTAGGAAACTAGGAGGGCTGAGGTCTGTGTTCATTTTAGTCTATGGTTTTGCCTCGTGCCTTGGTCTGGGGTGTCGACGTCCAGCCTGTTGGTTGTTCTCACCTGCTGTTTGAGCTGATGTACCAGCCGGTCTTTCTCCCTCTTCAGCAGAGCCACTTCATCTTGAGTCGTCTTCTTTTTTGAGGACGACAGCTCTAGAAGAGCGATGTTGGCGTCCTTCTCGCTGATGGCTGCCAACAGCGCCTCCTGCCTGTTTGGAGGAGAAAACACACACAGTTAGTATTTAGACGGCTTTAGACAATGCTTTGTTAATGAAAGTGATGTGACGTGTAACCAAGTCTGGTATCTCATATTCAGATTTTGTGCTCTTCATTTATCCCATCCAAGTGCACATACACAGCAGTGAGTAGTGAACACACACACACACACATGGCACAGTGGGAAGCCATTTTTGCTGTGGCGCCCTGTGAGCAGTTGGGGGTTCGGTGACTTGCTCAAGGGTCTCACCTCAGTTGTGGTATTGAGGGTGGAAGATGGGTGGACAGATACATCCTATTCACAAAAACACCCCGAGTCCTCACAACAATCTCTAGATCTGTGGTACTTGAACATATGAAACTTGACATCATAATGCTAGGGTGTTTACCAGGTGAACTGTGTTTTTTAGCATGCAAATGGTGTGGGAAGTTTAGAGATTTAGTAAAATGTTTTAATGTGTTTGAAAGTCATTTTCGCTCACCAAAGCTGTGTTTATTTAATCAAAAATACAGTAAAACAAATTCAAATGAAATGTAAATATTATAATAATAATAATAATAAAAAAAAAAAGAATTCTATTTGAATATATTTTAAATTGTAATTTATTCCCGTGATGGCAAAGCTGAATTTTCAGCATCATTACTCCAGTCTTCAGTGTCACATGGCCCTCCATAAATCATTCTAATATGCTGATCTGATGCTCAAGAAGTATTTTTGTCAATGTTAAAAACAGCTGAGCTGCTTAATAGTTTTGTGGAAACTGTGATACATTCTTTTCAGGATTCTTTAATTTTCAAAATTTCAAAAGAATAGCATGTATTTGAAATGAACATTTTTGTAACATTCTAAATGTCTTTACTGTCACCTTTGATCAATTTAATGTGTTCTTTCTGAATAAAATCTTTAATTTCTGACCCCTACTGACCCTAAACTTTTGAATTGTAGTATATAAATGATGTGATAGCAAGCAAGCACCACAAATAATTAATTCTAGCCATCAGTAAAGTGCAGCTGTTTGAGGGAGTGAGTCCTGTTAGGTCAAAGCTGTGGTAACGGAGTGAGAGGGAGGGTGAACATCTCATACCGGCAGTTAAGATGGTCAAAGCCTCCTGTGTATTGACAAATAGAGGCAGCAGACTGGAGAATGTCTTAGGGTTAGCGTTAGCCACGTGTGCTAGAGTGTCAGTGGTGAAGTGTGTGTCAAATACATCCTCCCTATGCCTCTCTTTCTTTTCCTCCCTCTCATTTTCTCGATGAGCACTTATATATACAGAAACTCACTGGATCCGTTCCAAAATCTAGTGAACTTCCTCACTGTTTACTGTCTTCCTGGACAGTTACCTTCTACGGTAGCATGCTAACTGAAACGGAACCTCATAAGAGATTGATTTGGAATGCCCTATGTAGGTAGCAACATAAAAAAACAGAACTTCTAACATGAAGTGCACAAGTGGAGTTTGGTGTTAGCATGTTGCTAAGCTAACAATGAGATAGCATAAGCATAAATATACCAAGCACAAACAAGTTTTGAGTAAAAGTAATTCTTCAAATAAAATTTAACTTCTTTCTTGACCATTTTCATTAATTAATTGATTTTAAGTATATTTACATTTGACAACAGACTATGCATGCCAAGGCCACATATTTTCGCTAAAATTTGCACAATGGGAGCTTCCGGAATAGCCTATGTTCTCCTATAGCAAATAAAATAACTGTCAATCACAACTTATCACATTTTATTATAATATAATATATTGTATATATTATTAACTGTAGTAAACATAACATTTAAGCATATTATATTAAAACACAATGTGTTACTAATAAGTTGTGGTAGCCATTGAGGCTAAATGTGGAAGTGATGCATGGAGTCTCACTTTGCCTGCCATATTGCATTTCCCACTGAGTTCACAAGGCATTCTGGGATTGCCTTCTCTGTGAAAGATGCATGCAACACGAATTTGGCCAGTATAACAGACCAGAAGCCTTAAAGGGGTCATATGATGTTGCTAAAAAGAACATTATTTTGTGTATTTGGTGTAATGAAATGTGTTTATGCGGTTTAAGGTTCAAAAAACACATTAATTTCCACAAACTGTATATTACTTTCTTTGTGTGAACATTTGGGCGGCGTTATGCAAATCTTCCCACATCGTGACGTAGACATGTGGGGGCGTGTTTGAACAAGGCATTTTAGGAGGGTGTGGACCAGTCTTAACTTGTATAAAGAATATCTCTTTGGGTTTGAGACTTTAGTCTTTGCAACTTTAGGGATCTTATCTATTCACAAACAGCTTGTAACACTCCAAAGAGAAAGGAAAACTTGAAATCGCATCATATGACCCCTTTAAAATTAAGCACACTTGCTTTATAACCTCACGCCTCTATTCTTCTGACGGAAAGGGTGCAACTTTCTATTTTCATCAAGGGCTTTCTGCGAATTAGATTTTTCTTTTATCAGTTTCTCAATCGCTGGCAAAGCCTCTATTTTTCTTTCTCTCTGTTTCGCTGTGTTCTATTCGGTTCCTTGGAGGAACTGACTGACCTGATTCTATCCAGAGTGACATCACAGCTGTAGAAAGAAGCCTGTGTACCTGACAGAAGTACACACACACACACACACACACAAATACACCATGTGATGCCCATGGGCCTCCATACAACTCTTAATTCTGTCATTTTGACCATCAAAAGCAATGGAGATGTGATGTTTCCCACAAACACACGGGCCACCCATGTCTGTAAAAACCACCGTGTCCTGGCACAAACTAATAAAATGAAAGCTGGTGATGTTCCAGGAGGCTTCTGAGCACTAACATGTCCTGTCAGAGAGGCCTTTTAATACAGTGACCTCCTGACTAGCCGTGCTCATTATGGTCAGGTTCAGACCACAGGCAGCAGCTGTCCCTGAGGTGAGTCAGTTTACTTTGGGCAAAAAGGAACTTCCCCTTCAGCTCCATAACCTCCCTGCCTGGTCCCGATGAGCCCTAGAGTATCTGCCCTGCCAAAATGCATGAGGACGGCACTGGCTAAAAATAAAAATCAAACAGAAACCCAGGTAGGGCGGCATTAGGAGAGGCAAATAACAGGAAGTGGAGGGATGTGCTCTGGGATATGGAGGATAAGGAGTCTGAAATGATGGATGAGAATGCTCACACGTCCATGTAAACACACTCATGCACATGATATTCAGGTCATGAAAACATACATTCTTCTCCCACGTTTCCCAACCACAGGAAATGAGGGAGAGATAGATACCGGTCTGAAGTAGAAAAGAAGACCGAATCGGAATTGCTCCGTGCCAAATTTTCCCGTAGAACGTGTCTCCTCAGATGAATCTTTTAACAAGAATGGGAATTTTCCTCCGTGATCTAATCTTTCCCATTCAGTGGATATGTTGATAATGATATACACTACCGTTTCAAAGGTTTGAGGTCTATATTATGTATTAAAAAATGCATCAAATTGTATTAAAATTGAAAAGTAATTTCAAATTGTAATAATATTTCACAGTATTACTGTTTTTACTGTATTTGATCAAATAAATGAATAAATGCACCATTGATGAGCATAAGAGGCTTCTTTAAAAAACTCATAAAAGATTAACTACTTGGTTACTAACTTAAAGTATTGCTAAAAATTGTTCAAATAAAATGTAAAAACGGACTATATTACCCATTATTTTTGTGTGATCTGTAGGTTCATTCGATTGTATTGCTATCTTAGCAACATGCTAACACCAGAGTCTGCTTGTTAAGTCTGACGTCATTTGTCTATGTTTCTCATACAAGGCTCATAAATGGCTGCTGAGATAGTATTCTCGATTAAAAAGAGTAGAGACTTGGACCCGGAAACATATTCCTTAAGTCATGACTTAACAAGCTGATTGGAATCAATAGCTGAGTTAAATCTCCTACAAAGCTTTATTTGTGTGGCACATGGACTTGCTGAATATGTAGAGTGCTCCAATTATGCCACTTTCATTTGGGTTAAGATGCTACCTTAGTAAGCAACCTCATATGTAGGCAGTAGACAGCAAGGCAGAGCTTGTGTTCCTGGTACTAAAAGAAGACAAAGCCTCTTATCAGGAGCACAGGGACACAATGGGCCCCCACACATTTGTTCTGAGAGAGATAGGGAAGAGTTCATATTGATCACTAAGAGGTCAAGTGGCCAATCACCTCCTCCCACGACAAAGCCAATCGGAGAGAGGGTAAGCGGCCCATCAATCAACGTATTTCATCATTGCCCTCAAAACTCAATTTCCTCTCTCTGAACTCTGCATTCCTTTAAGCCTCTTGCTTTCTTCTCAGGAGTCCTCAAGCAGGCCTAAAAATACACATCCTCCTCTGTTCGCTATCGGTTTTGTGTTTCTATGGGTGTGTACGCCAGTGGAGAGATAATGAATAGCTGAGGGGGTGGGCAGCTTGTGACGGGACGCACTGTGCCGGTTAAACCACCGGAGAGGGAATCACCGCACAGAGCTCCAGGAATGACCAGGTTGGCGGGTCCTAAACGTGACTTATCACAGCCATTCCTACTTTATGACGACAGCCGGACGTAAATGATGGCAAAATGAGGGAGGAATGTTAAACGAATGCAGATCTGAGGTCAGCCGACTTTCACCGCTTGAAATTTTTAATGGTTGCCTCAACCGTGACCATTCTGGAAGAGAGATAAGCTTCTTGGAAACACAAAGGAGGAGAAATGTGAAGCAAAGTTTGGACAAAATACTGCAATGACAGATGGATGAATTAATAGAAAAAATTATATTTCAAAATATTGCAATATTTTACCTTATTTTTTTTTTTTTTACCTCAGAGCAAGTCTGTGAGAAGAATATAATTGATAATAAATCATCGCTAGGTCTCTGATCTCTGATAGATGGTTAGACAGATGAAGGGGATATATGAGTCTGTGAGAAGAATATAACTGATAATAAATCATCGCTAGGTCTCTGATGAAGGATAGATGGTTAGACAGATGAAGGGG